CCATAAAAAATTAGGAAATAAATATAAATGATGCCTTTTTCATTCTAGAATGACAACAGATTATAAGATAAAAACATAAATGTTTAGACTTAATATCTTAAATCTCATAACATTATACATTTATATATATATATATAATATTTATTATATTGATCTTTCAGCCATGCCTGGCTAACAATACAAATATTACAATGATGCGGCACATGTGCACTCATGTTACCATATCCAATAACATAAAGGTGACCTTTAGTCTTTACAAAGTGACCTGTCTTGGCTGTGTTTTAGTAGACTAGTACTTTGTAAAATACAGTCACATTTCAATGATTATACATTATGTATGTATATAGATTATTGCTAATTAGAAATAAGTTCTAAAACTTATTTTTCTCAAACATGGATTGGTTATTCATGTCATACATAGAAGTAAGTGTATGTAAGGGAAAGAGGTGGGCGAAGTGCCACTGTGTTTGATTTATTACATGAGCACTTATTTTATATTCTAGCTTGTCAGTATGAGTAATTTGAGTTCCTAAATTGTACGAAACTATGGACTTAGTATTTTGACATCACAAACATCTAATTTGAACCAGTACTGCATTCAACATACTATTTGACACACAAAAATTGATATTTAACTGTTGTTTTAAAATATTTACTTTTAAGTTAAGAAATTGAGTAATTTATAATACTAAAATTTGAATTATATTCTATAGTTTGATACCAAACTTATTGACATAAATTCATGAAATAGCAGTTCATTAACATTTTGAATGTGATTCAAGAAACGAGATGACGTGGCCTTTCACCTGTGACCCATCTGGAAAGGGTTAACATAATTTTGCAGGTATATTCTTTTGCCTTCCCATGTGTATTTTAAATCCTCGTGTGTTACTACATGAAACCTATACTCAGGATTACTTTGTCTTCTTTCCTTTGCCTGACATTAAGGTCCATGCAGTCTTCTTTCTCAAATAACTGCACATCCGTATTAACATGCCTCATTCTCCTTGTCTACTTGAGTCTTTTGACCTGGCTTACAACCATTATTCATTTCCATTCCTTGATTTTCAGTCTTTGGAATCTCTTTTACCTGCTTCGGGGGCTGGTCCCATGACTTCTACTCCCCTTTCTAGTGCCCAATTGTCATGCCTTTGTCTGTTTCTTATCAGCCTCCTGCATTATCTCTCATCAATTCACTTTATTTCTGAGACACTTCATTTCACTCCAGAGGAGTGTTCTGGAGACGTTTGTTCCCATCTTTTCACTACAGTGACCCATACTACTACTGCTGCTGTACCTCTTTACTTGGTTCCTCTGCTGTTGGGACAAGATTTAATCCTAGCTAATGTACACCTCCCTCATCTTACTCCCATGCCTGAGTGGGACCTTAATGTGGTTTTACATGCTCTTACATGTGATCTGTTTGAGCCATTGGTTTCAAGTTCCTTATACCATCTTTCTTTGAAAACATATTTATTCTCCCTCTAGCCTGTGGTTGTTGTTGTTTGGATGTGTATGCTATCAGTGATTCCTGCACTCTTCTTCACAATACTTACCTCTCTGCTCTGACTGAGCCTTTCTTCCAGAGTTTTTAGTTGCTTGAGGTGGTGACTTTTCTTTCTCTACTTTTCTTACCCTTTGATTTCTCACCTCTATGCTTATTTGGGCCTGGATCATCATCTGTGTCAGGTTTGTGCCTTTTGGTGTTATTTGGCATGTACATCTCATTTTTGGGGTTCCTGTCTTTGTTTGTTTCTACTTTAAGACCACTCTTTGTCCAGAGATCTCTCACCTTCTACTCTTATAGGAGGCATCCACCAACTCCTGTAGTTAGAATATTTTTCTCTGGTTATTGATGCTCACAGACTCTCTCACATTTTGTTACATCAGACTCATCAACTAACTCTCTCACTTGTTTCTCACTTTTATTGACCCTTGGACGAGATCCTTCATGTGGGCACGTGGATGACTGCACACTTTTGTCTCCCATTATCTTTATCATCTGGTTGTTTTGTCTCCTTGGGTATTTTGACTCCTTCTGGATGCTGTTCTTCAGTCTACCCATTGTCTTTGAGAAGGGTAAATACATTTTCTTTATTAACCACATCTAACCCTTTTCCCCTTTTATAGAATCCACTAGGTGACTCTTGGTGCCTCCTAAAGTATGCTTAATTCTCAAAATCCACAGCAGGCCAGGGATAACAGAAAGTGTCAACCCATACACCTTGGCTCTAACAGTAACCATTGTCAAGATGGGTGTATTTCACAAGACCATTAGAGGTTTTAAAATTATTCAGTTGCCCAATCGAGACTGTACCTTCCAAAGACAATCATGGAAAACGTTAGTGCCAGGGAAATGAATGCTACATTTTTGACTTGCACTTGTTAGCTTTTAAAGATATCGATTCTTGATCACATATTGCAATGTTTGCAGTAAAGGAACTTTCCAACAGGTGTCCGATGGGAATCCAAGCACTTCTTTTGGTCTGCCCAGTTCGAATTCTCTCCCTTTCAAGTGGAGCATTGGAGACCCTTGCCACTTATGATTTTTCTTAGAGATTTCCTCACTGATTTTGTACAGTGTTAAAATGGGAAATAGGGTGGTGGTAATGTCTGTGTAGTGTGGGTTACACTATCAAACATCTAGTGTGCCTTCCTCCTGCAGCAAGAAAAGTTCATAACCCCCATCTCTGTTTGTCCAGTTGAGTCAGAGTCAAATATGTTCTGTATGGTCTGATTGCACCCAAGCCACACTACACTTTTTGACTTCCTGACCATCTATGTGCCAGTGCTTGGTTGGTCATGCAAAAAGTTTTGCTCATCTTTGCAACACTTGATGCTTTTTTTTGCCTTTCCTGCCATGTGAAGAGTATACCCTGGTCAAGACAAGATGCAGTTTCTCATGAATGTGCCCCTGTGGAGCCCCTGCCACTGGGTGTCACATTCCATGAGCTTTTCCTTCTGGTGCCTTCCGGATGAAGCTCATCTAGGTTTAATGTTTTCACTGGACTTTCCACCATTTCAGTGTGAGATTCCATCTATTCTGTGTGTGAAGATGAGGTATCGTCTTCAAAGCTAACATTTTCCTTCAAAGAAGGTCAAATTATTTGTGAGACAAGATTTTTCCCTTTAAAACCATCCTTGCTGTCCAACAAATTTCATTCAGGTTTGCAGATCATTTTTTATTTAATCTCTCCAAAGCTTTTATCATCACAGAAGTAAGACTAATTGTTCTATAATTACAATGCTTGTCATTGCTCATAAAAATTGATGTAACATTAACTAAGTTCTAGTCTTCTGGCACCTGCTTATTCTAGTACATATTTTTTCAT